GGTCGCAAGATAACGTAGACATTTAAAAAATATTTTTTTGTGCCTAAACCGCTCAATGAATCAAAATTTTACAAGAGGCCCAAAAACATCCAAATCGTATCACTTATCAATTAAAAAATCAATCAATTTTGTAGGAGTTGTGAGTTTTAAAAAACACTCTGTATAACACCAAAATTTGTATATTGAAAGCTAAAATTCACATTCCAAAAATAATCAGAATCGATTAATACACGTATTCGAGTCAATTACAAAATTCAAAAAATTTTCGCGAACTTTGATGCCATCTAGCGGCCAAACGAAGTATTACGGATATAGGTGAATTAGCCTAAATCTGCCTATTTTGAGTCCACGAATCTGTGGCCTTCCGTTGTACACGTTATTCTAGGACACCCTGTAGCGTACATACCTAAAATTATTAATTTCTTAACCCATTTTTAAGTTTTTATTGTTAAATTTTTAATTAGCCCTTACTCGTTCACCCTCGACGTACAATTTGAGGGTTTTTAATTAATTATTTGTGAATCAATCTTCTGCTATTTGCATGGTTGGCCTGAAAATATTCCCCATGTTTTAAAATAAAAGCAGGAACATTAATCAAGCTCTGTTTTCCGCAGCCGAACCGTGTTGGATTTAATCAAAATTTGAGAGATTAAAATTAGCTAAAATATCTACTTTGAGAAAAATCTAGAATGAAGCAAAATGAATTTGTTGTTATAACGAGCGTTCAAATAAAAACGTGGTCAAGTTGGTTCTGAAAATTTGGACGTAGGGCGTAGCGTATAGCAAATGAACTTAAACGTCATCTGTCAAAGCGCTATATCGCCGCTATCAATTTGAATATTTTCGTTTTAAAAAGCGTTTAAAATGGTGTTTTCTCAAGAACAAAAAGTGTTTATCATAGAGTCCTACTTTAGAAATGGACGCAAGATTGATGGAATATGGAAGTATTCTATTGAGGAATGTTTCATAGAATTTCAAAATCAATTTCCCGGCGTTGTTGAGTACAAAATTTTTCAAAGTGCAGTTCAGCGTTGTGTTAATGTTTTTCGTGAAACGGGCAGTGTAACAAGAAAAGAAGGAAGCGGCCGACCTAAAAAGCGGACTGAAGAATTAAAAGAAAATGTCCAACAAATAATGGAAAATGCGCCAAGAACTTCTGTACGTGTTTTATCACAAATGGTGGGAGTATCAGTCGGTACCTGCCACACAGTGTTAAAAAAAGATTTGCGTTTGTTCTCCTATCGTTTAACTTGTCAGCAAGAACTTCATGAAGTTGATTTTCCGCGACGGGCTGTATTTTGTGAATGGTTTTTAAACAACTACGGTGAACTTCATAATATCACCTTTTTTTCTGATGAAGCCTGGTTTCATTTAAGTGGTTACGTAAACTCACAGAATATGAGAATGTGGTCTTCTGAAAAACCAGATAACTTTTTTGTCGAGGGCCCTCTACACGCTCAAAAAATTGGAGTTTGGTGTGCTCTCAATCGAAGGAGGATTTATGGACCTATTTTTTTTAATGGTACTCTTACTGCGCAAAGGTATAGAGAAGAAATTATCGCTCCTTTTGTTAACCAGCTGGAAGAAAACGAAATTACAAACTTTTACTTTCAACAAGATGGCGCAAGGGCACATACGGCAGGCGAGACGATGAATATGTTGAGGGAAGTTTTCCAAAATCGACTAATAAGTCTCAATGCTGAACATGAATTTCCACCGAGGTCATGTGATATTACGCCGTGTGATTTCTTTTTGTGGCCTTACCTTAAAAACACTATTTTTGAACTGCCTATTCCTGATTTAAACCATCTGCAGGCTCGACTTATAGACAAGATTCGTGAAATTAACAATACCCCGAGCATCTTAGAAAATGTCTTTAATTCTTTGAGGAACAGGTGTGAAAAGTGCTTGGAACAAGGAGGGGGACTCTTTCCGCAGCTCCTTTAATTGTTTGTTATTGTTATCACGATTATTCTTTAAAATAAAGTTATATAGTCATTAACGTTATTGAAACTGACAGCTGCTATACAGTATAAGTTGGTCGTTATAAGCTATTCCCTACGTCCAATGTGTCAGAGCCAACTTCGACCACGTTTTTATTTGAACGCTCGTTATTTTGAAGCTTCGATGTGTTTCGATAAATTTAGTGGTCGTTGAAAGTATTTATTGGGTTTTGATGGGAGTCCAAATGTCCAATTCCGAACCGACATTCGCGGAAAGGTTCTCCTTTGATGGAATTATGATCACCGAGTTTATTTTTATTTTTCATTACTCGGCGACTATATAAGATGGAATTTCCTAAAATTTTTCCCACACAGGCGTGCCAACGGGCGATCATGCGAAGAAGCGGAGCTTTAACGGCAGGCCTGCGGGTCTCTTAATAAAATTTGATTGCGCGGAAGACGGGGACCAGCCGCTGCGGTTTATTAGATTGAAGTGGCACGTGTGAGAGAAATAGAATACAGTGGGGTCACGGCTTTTTTTTATGTGAACAGCCACCATCTGGTACATAAGTACGCGTTGAGTAAGAATGGGGCTCTTCTGAATAGGGTCATTCCACTTTTCTCTTAATAGCTTTCATCGAAAAATTTGCGTTAAATAAAAACATTTCGTATTTCAAATTTTGTTTTACCGGTATGACGTCATTAAGTGAAAAATTAGGAATATCACCAAGTGTATGTTGGCACACTGATGGGTTGGCATGATTTTTTAGGTAGGATTCTATAAATCCGATGTTTCCGCGTCCTCCGCTAGAGGTCGCTACGGTATCTTTGATATAGGAAATGGGACGATTCCATCGTTGCCAGATCGAGCAATTTGTCACAAATTAGACGATTTTTATGTGCGAAACATTCTTATAAAAGTAATTTGTCATAACTTTTTTAATTTATGAATCAGTACTTAATTTAAAATGTCAGGAATTCTTGATCTGGTAACATTGAACATAAAAATCCAATAGAATTACTACATCTGGCGGTGGATTTGAGATTTTCGCTTGGTGACGTCACAAACGCCTATTTTTATTTTATTTAGGGCTTAAAAACGAAAAAAGAGAACGACCGGTTCCATGTTTTTTAACTTATTTTCATTTTCATCTGGTTGGAAGTTGGAAGCGAAAATTCTTACGTCAACACCCTTAATGTACGCAAAACAAAAACCTTTGCATTCACATACTTCTATGGATGTTCCATGTCAACAAAAATTAGATTCCAATTTTGTTTTTGCAATAAAAAAAGTCATCCAAGTACATATTTTATTAGATCCTATAGAATTTCACAAACGGAGACGACCAAAAATGGCTCTACATCGACTGTCTTGCGGTGACGACCCATTAGAATGTATCAGATAATTTCGAAAATGTTATGAAAAGTTTGCGAGGGTGTTCTCTTCTTTAAATAAAATAATGCTTTTATTGTAGCACTTCCAATTTCCGGTTATACGGACGTCGTCATCTACTTCCTTATTTTAAAATTCCCGACATCGTTCTTCGTTCTGGAAGCATTTACGGAATATACAAAGAACATGAGATGCACTACTAGTCCAATGAAATGAGTTTAAATTCGCAATTTGGTCAACTTGCCTGAATTTTTGATATATAAGTTCATTTGAGGTATATAATAACAATAAGTGACAGTAATTTTTTTTTCAACCCCGACCAAGGGTGAAAAAAGATAAAAAAAGGAAATTTTCAAGATAACTCAAAAGGGGCAAGAGCTAGGGAAAAAATAAAAGTTGCAGAGCATAAAATTCTATATAAAAAGGGTCTATTGACTTTTTCTTGTACTATTAAAACTAACAAGAGTTATAGTCCAATTAACTAAGCCTTTAAATCGAAATTTTGTCAACTTGGCTGAATTTTTGATATGAGTTAGTTTAAGGTATATTATAACAATAAGTGAGAGTAATTTTTTGTTCAACCCCCGGCCAAGGGTGAAAAAAGAAAAAAAAAAGGAAATTTTCAAGATAACTCAAAAGGGGCAAGAGCTAGGGAAAAAATAAAAGTTGCAGAGCATATAATTCTATATAAAAAGGGTCTATTGACTTTTTCTTGTACTATTAAAATTAACAGAGTTAGGGAGACTAGAAGTTAAGGGATGATTTCAGAAATTTAAAAAAATCAAAAGCAGAAAAATGAATATATTTTACATATTTTTTTTCAATCTACTCTAAAAATGTAAACTATCTTTTCAGAGAAATGGATATATCTTTTAATTTTTAATAAGGCGAACGTGATTTTTTTTCTTTGTCGTAAAACAATTAATCGAATGGCATAGAAAAAAATTGTTGTTGTTAAATCATAAAAATGAAGGAAAATTGAAGTTGTTATAACTTTTTTATTCAAAATTAAAAAATATATTTATTTCTCTGAAAAGAAAGTTTAGTTTAAAGTAGATTGAAAAAAAAAACATAAAATTCATTCATTTTTCTGCTTGTTATAGTTTTTTTAAATATCTGAAATCATCCCTTGACTTCTAGCCACCCTAACTCTGTTAATTTTAATAGTACAAGAAAAAGGTCAATGGATTATTTTTATGTAGAATTATAAATATGCTAAGAATTTTTTTTTCTAGCTCTTACCCCTTTTGACTTTTTTGAAAAATCCCTCTNAAATAATATTTTGGATTTCAACAAGGGATTACGCTCCAAAATGACTTTATCGGTACAAGAAACCCATCACCTGTTAGTAAGTAGATTATTAGTAATTTTTCGCCAGAAGTATTATTTGTATGTGTTACTAATAATGTACTCGAAGTGTATTAATTTTTATAGATGTGGACATGTTTTAAGTAAGACACCAACTAATGACTATGCGTAAGGGCTAAGAATATGCAAGTACGAAACGTAAAACGAAATCGTCGCACATCGTGTATTCCTAGCCGGTCGATACGATCAGTTCTCGCAGCATTCAGCTGCGGAGAAAACTAAAATGAGATGCGAAATGTGCGTGAAAGAGAGAAGTGTGTTCTACCTCAACCATCACAGTAAATTAAAAAACATACATCCAAAAGAAAAGGCATCTCAAGTATGTTCCGTCGTCGCATGTCCATCGTGGTCTAAATGGTTATGTTGGGCGGCCTCTAAATCAGGTGCAAACATTAACAATAATTCCATGAGTATCTTGTTCAAGTATGTGGATTTACGGTATTTGAACGTGTTAAAACATTCGTTTTAGAAAAAAAAAAAAAACCATTTCGTTTTTCTTAGAATAGTTCCAAAGTAAGTACTCGTAGGTATTTAAACAAATTATTTATTTTTGCTTTGTCGACTAATCTTATTAACAAGTTTAAAAAAAAAGTAACAAACAATAAAGTTAACTTGTGTCGCAAATTGTCTTTTTTACTTCTTTGAAAATTTTTTCGGCAATATCAAACATCTTATTTTTTTCTTGACTAGCTGAAAAAACAGCATACGTTGCTTAATATTTTGATATACACCACACCCGGATACTATGAGCAAAAAAAATTATGAAATGTACTCTCCAAAATAACAGTACAAACTCAATCATTACTGGCATAGAGCGATTTACTAATCTGTAAGTACAACAAAAACATGACTAGCACTCAATAGACGAACAAACAATATTGTATTGTATTGTGTTATTAAATTACACCCCCAATGTCTAGTTGAAAAGTATATTTAGCCTGTCGTGACATTAGTAATGCTTCCATAGTACCTAGAGATTGGTAGGTTGTTGGCCCAGTAGGTACAAAGTAATACCTTATGCCAGTAGGCATTGAGTAGCCAATGAAATTTAACATATGACATATACTTTGTAGGTTATGTCTCACACAGCGACCTACCCCAGTAGGTGCAAAGTAATTAACACAACTAAAAATGATTTTATGATCAGATCCTTGGCACAACTGTTTTTAAAATTATTTCATAAGAACTTGTACTATAATTTTTATAAATAGAATCACCCCACAATTATTTTGCTCGTAGTTTCTGTAGAGGGAAATTTTGTTACACACAAAAAAATCTACATTTTTTAATGAAAAATTTTTTACTGAAAGTTTTCGAAAATATTTAAAAAAGTTACCTAAGTTGAGACAATAAAATACAGTCATCGAAAAATAGATTCCTTATCTCGATTCATCGTAACTTCCTAAACCGTGAATGCTTACCGTGAACGGCGGCCTCCACTTTGTGTTTATCCTGCACGATGTAGAAGGCGGTGATGAGGAAGAACAAACCGCCTATAACTTCAACGAAACACGTCGAGAATAGGGCGTATTGCAAGGACTTGAAGTTTTTCAAATCGGTCGAGTCGGACAAGTTCAAGTTCATCTTGAAAGCCTCAGATAGCTAAAAAAGTGAATGGTTATTGGACACATTTAGGACTAGGCACAGCAGAATGACACACAGGGTGTAACTTTAAGACGGAGCCACATTTTTAGGGATAACGGTATGTGTTTCCCAAAATAATAATCTAGGTAAAATAACTTTTTTTGATCGAATAAAATAGTCCCGTTATAATTCATTTTATAAACATATAAAACGTTATAAAAAATTATATTTTTTTTTGCATGATTTATTAAATATTGACCAAGTAAAATTAGGCCTTAAAATAGTTATTTTTGTATCTTGAATAGCTTCTATTCTTGCAAAAATGCAAAAGTACCATTTCGCTTTCGAGATGCAAATAATATTTTTTCGAAAACTGCAATAAAATAAGACAATTGTGTTATATAAAACAATTTAATTTATATTTGAAATCGTTTGAAC